CGTATAGTATTGAGATCAAGTGACTGTTAATAATATCAAATATTAAAAATTAAATATTAAATAGTGCTACCTCCATGGAATGATCTTTGTTGTTCACAACAATGTTAACGAAGAAGATAACGAATAAAATAAAATATTATAAACTTAGTACCAGTGAATAAATATTTCAGGAGGCCGGAGAGTGATGTAGAACGAAACGAGCTATATTAACAATATATTAAGTACATTCTCTTTATCAAGTTTGGCTCGTTTTAGAACATAAAAATTGCTAACGTCTTATTACTGTAAGAAAAGATATAGCTGTATTTTGTTATTCATTATTTATTATTTACTTATAATGTTAATATTTGCTTTAACTTAACAGAGTGATTAGAAATTTTAAACTTGGTACTAATACTTATGATGAATACGAAATAGGTGATCAAAAATAGAAACCGTCATGTTANAGAATTATAAATCATTATCTGAAAATAGAAACACAAATTTTTTTGACTTTGTTCTAAAGGCCTACATCTTTGATCAGTCCATATTATCAAGACATGTCCGTATATTCAACCGTAATGGGCTTGTTTCTAGCATCAGGTGGCGCTGGTGTGCTTATGTAAGATTTCCATAGGAGTATATCTATATATTAAATAAAATCCAATTAAAAACTATTTAATATATAGGTATAATTTTATGGAAATCTTACATGGGCACACTAACGCCACCTGATGCCAGAAACAAGCCCATTATCGAGACTTATTTTCTTCTAATCAATCATTAAAATTTTAAGTAGTACGGTATAAAAGAGTTCAAGTAATGTGTTTACAAACTAAATCTTACATAAATTTTCTATTAACTTCAATAACATTCTTCATTAATTTATGTATTTAAGTAAATCACAAAATAATTAAAGACGTATTTTGTTTCTTGATAATACAACGAATAAAAGCTCTAATTAATGTTTCTTTAAATACTACATAAGTTACCGAAAGCAACAATTAAAGTATGAGAAATTTTTATGGTACATTAAACGGGTTACTGAGGGTTTTAGTATATTCATGATTTAAAAAATTGGCACTCACAAACTACGACATCTTTAATACTAATGTTATTATAAATCGAATAGCCATAATAGAGACAGACTCGATAATAGGACTATCTATCCCTATTAATTTACATACAATATATCTAAAAATAGTTTTATACTGAAGTAACATCACCAGGGATAGATTTAACGCTATACATTTAAACAACTTCTAAAAAAATTAATAATTTAAACGTTTTTACACTAAGCATTTTACGGTTCTTAGTTTTTATGTGTTTTTTCGCCTATGCTTTCCATTCTTGATTGTTCTCCTGAGTAGTTTTAAAAACTTTCACTCTCAACAAAATTTTTAAGGCTTCTACTCAATGTTCATAACTCGCATTATTCTTATCAAACAACTGAGAAAAGTGATCGTTTGTTATTCTTTCCACTACATTTATTAAACAAGTAATTAGTTTTCTTTGATGCCAAAGACTTGAATAATGTTTTTAAAAACCTTGAAATTGACAAGAAATGATTTTAGAAAAAAATTTAGTTGGTCTTGAAAAATACGCTATTTCTGAGAGTGTTTCATCAGTATGCTCATATTCTCTACATTTTGTATAAAATTCGGCATTGGTGACTCGTTGATCAGAACTTTCTATAAATATATACTTACAATTCGAACATTTACTTTTTCTTAAAGCACTTTTGGCTGTATATCTGCTTAAGTAAGTAATGGCGGTTTTTGATACAAGCTTTTCGTATCAAAGTCTACTATTCCTTCTGAAACTAGGGGTAAGTGTACCAATCTCCGTGCTCTGCCCTATTACCGTGGATTTTGAAAAACTGATGATTACTTGCTCACAATAAGAAATGTTTCATATAAAATAATTTTTCAATTTCAATAATCTAAAATGACGTTAATGTAGATGCAATTCAAATAGAAATATTTGTGTATATTTTGAGTAAATAGTTATTTTCCACGGTATTCGGTACAACGCGCTCATCAACTGATTGTGTACGTATTTCCGCGGTGAGCGTACGTAAACGTAACCCTATACTTACAGAACGCACGACAGTTAACACGTAAACAATTAGTAGGTAAGCACGTCGATCTAACGTAACCAAGATGAAGAAAACTAAAAAAGGCAAAAAAGGCAAGAAAGGCAAGAAATCGATCGAAATAAAGAAAAACAAAAAGTGTTACTCTCCAGAGACATTAAAATTAGCTTTGAAAAGTATCTATTCTGGAAAATCTATTGCTGAGTGCTCGAAAATGTATAAAATTTCTACTAAATGAATAAGCAAGTACAAAAAAAAGTAATATTTTTTCAAAACAATAAATAAGTAATGTAGAAAATGTAGGTGAAATTTGCATTTTTTTTTATATTCCGCAAATACAACTTTCTTCACCCACGGTAATACGGTCACGGTGATTGGGACATCCGCGGTAATACGTACACGGTAATAGGTACACAACCACGGTAATACCAGCATACCGTTTTTATTCGTTTTAAAAATATTCTACTGCAGTTTGAGTTTCATAAAATTTTTTTAAATATTCCGTAAGAGATTATGTAAGATTAAAAAAAAAAATATTCCAAAAAATTTTAGTATACCATTTTTTATGGTGCATTTAAGATGGAACTTTTAGTACGTGCCACGGAGATAGGTACACTTACCCCTATAGGCAGAAATGTTTCCATTACTTCCGTGCTTGCAAAAGTTCTTCCATTTCTCGCATTTCTGCTACTTCTAATTCATCAGGTAAATTATTTGCAACAGCTGCCAATAAATTCACACTTTTAATACTTAAGCTATTCTGATTCAAGTTTACCAAGAAACGAGTTTCTAAAATTTTGATGTTACGTTGTTGACAAGTATTTATAAAATCAGTAGAAAAAATTTGCCTAAAAGTAGGGTGATACATACGGCAAGTTGGATTTGGATTAAAACTACTACTTTCTCGACATCTCGAATTAGTATGCTCTACGCTATCTTGGTTACAAAGACCAGTCGCTAATGCGAGGTCCAGAATTTTTAATTTTTTTTTTTATCATCAAACAGCTGCAACAAACAGTTGGTAGTCAAGGACAAACTAATAAAACAAGGCGGCCTATCACTCGTACGGATTTTCCGCGTGAACTCGCAGGAATTGTGTGTGTCTTCCATTGTCTATACCATTCTACAAAATTAATCGAACATTCTTTAATCTCTGTAATGAGTTACGGATATTAATCACAACATCTATTTTTTTCATGAACTCAGCCGATTGCTCCCACATGGTAAGACATTATAACTTTGTCGTTTAAGAAAATACATTTATGTGCTCTCAACTGATACAGCAAACGTTTAATGAGATGCGGCCAATCAAAAGCAGCAAAAATTTTCTTGCCCTCATGTTCAAAAGAGGGTTCATCTATACTAAAGTAATGCACTTCATTACTTTCTTCGGTGGTAGTTTTAACCGGAACGCTATCATTACCTGTGATTTCTTGTTGTTCTCCAAAATCAATTTACATTGATCGATCTGTTCCATTGGCTTCGATTGGTTTTTCTTGATGTTGGCTTTCTTGTAGTTCCTTGTTTGCTGTGGAGTCCAATATTTATGGAATAATCTGAGGCTCTGCCAATTGCCAATTAATTGGAACAGTGGTGGCACGCAAGCTAATTTTTCCTTGGGTATTTTGTACGAAATCATCCTTTGAAAAATGATTTGCACACAACCCTGCAGATCGTAATAAAGATGCTGCCCAACATAAAAAATTGTTGTTACCTAAGTATGCAAACACAATTTTGCGTTATTTTCGTGCAGAAAACAAATAGAATGTGTTAAACTGCTGTAAATTTTTTCTCAAAATTTACTTTTCTGGTTTCGCGTTCAGCATAATAAATTCGAAACAAACAAAGATTTCTTTTCATTTCAACGTGTCATTTTACAGATAGTTATATAAGCAATAAATTTGATTGAGGTTATGCCGAAAATAGCATGGAAATTTTGAAATCACTTGCTCCCTTTTTGACAAGATGCGCTCGAAGCGCTACCACCACCACAGTGCCTCTCCTCCTACATTGAAACCAGGATTCTGGTGAGCGCAGCTCGCCACCAGGATTCTAGGGACAGCTTGGAAACTAACGGAAAAAAAGAAATCGTCAAATGCTCGAAAAGTTCGACAATAAACTCATTGCCCTTTAATATTGTTGAAATGATTTAAAATGTTTTAATTTTGTTATTGTCATTTTACAAAATAAATAATTTGAACTATTATTAATATGTACATCTAAATTTTTTAATAAAAATTTCTTTTAAAAATCATCAACATTTTTTTTTGGTTTCAAAAATTTTGCCATAGGAACCAAAAAAAACTCCTTAGGTACCAATTTTGGAGCAAAACATTAATTATCCGATTTTATCCCGAAATATGAGAGTTTTTAACAAACAATTGTCTTATAATAGGTACAGGGACCAGAAAATTTTTTATTTCGACCTCATATTCGTGTTCAGCAACCCCAAAAAGCCCCGAGTAACAAGTCTTCACTGGCTACGTTACAAATTTCCATAAAAGCCCAAGAGATGACGTTGATACTTTCCACCCTGGGCACCAGGTACTTCAGACATTATCACTGTCATCACAATTGTGTTCAGTGACCAAAAAAAAAAAAATCCCCGAGAGACCATTTTGGCGGCTGAATATCAAGTTTACGAAATTTTTCACCACACTTTTCGGGGTGCCTACAGAAGGTTGAAACTAAAAAAACTACAAGAGACAGATACAGAGTATGAAAAAAGACTGTAATATACAAAAATAATTTTTAAAAAATAGTTATAATCGTTCTATTCACATGTATAACAAGAGTTGGCACATGTAAATATAACCTACTCATTAGATGAAGTACCAGTAATTTGTTAAATATTCAATACAAGTTATGTGAGCTTTTTGATGCTATTTCACCATCCCCCATTTTTCATAATTTTTATCATTACACAATGGATAACTGTAGTAGTAAAAACTACGGAAAATGGACATACAAACAATTAATTCTAGAGCTGAAAAAAAGAAGTGCACAGACAACTGGGAAGAAGGCTGATTTAGTGCAAAGGTTTGCCGCTTATTTAATGTTTATGAAAGATGATGGTTCATCATTATAAATTTTTTATAGGCTCATTGATTACGACAAAATATGTATTAAGGTTACACCTGAAATTGAAGAAGAATATACATTAATTACCCCTGATCCTAAAAACTACAGAGACTTGAATGCGTCGCATCCTTTATCACTACCAAATAACTTTTATGTAGAATATTTCAATTCAATACAAGGTAAGATTCATAACGAAAAAGGAGAAAAAAATGTACAATGATAATTACTTGCTGTGTCTTAAAAGCGCTGTAAATCAAGAGAATGAATCATTTTTGCTGGCACGAATTGCTTCTCAGTTTAGAAAAGCTACTGTTTACAATGTAAATATTAAAATTACACCTCTAAATATTATTTCTGATACTCAGTGTGAGTGTGCTGCTGGTAAGAGACTAACAGCTCATTGCAAACACGTATTTGTGGTTTTTGAAGCAATCAAAGACTTTTTGATGAATAAAAGTATAAAAACAAAGGAAACATGTACAGAAATATCACAGACATTTTACCAAGCTAAAAAACACCTAGGCTCACCACAAAAAAAAAACCATACAAACAAATGTGATTTCACATAAAAAGAGCAGGTTATATTTACATGTGCCAACTCTTGCTATATATGTGAATTGAACGATTATAACTATTTTTTTAAAATTATTTTTGTATATTGCAGTCTTTTTTCGTACTCTGTAACTGTCTCTTATATGTAAAAATTTAGAAATTTAATTTAGTTTGACTTTGGCGCTTTTTACCCCCATGCCCTCACAAGCGCCGCCACATAGCAGAATATCCCTCATAGGTTAAGAACGAGAAATATTACTGAAGGTAGTGGAAACACAATGCAGAAGGTCCTATTTAAATCTGTTATGTTTGCCCATTTTTCTACCCTTTCCGGTTTATTAACTGAACTATATGCATAATTCTCAGTTGCGTATTCATTCTAGATTTTTAGCTATACAATCTAAAACTCTGAACTTGGGTTTTCCACCTTAAGGTGACTCCAGCGCCTAGTGCCGTATCAAAATGGGGAGACTAAAAATTAATCATTATTTTCTTTAAAATATGGTATAAAATTATCGCAGAGACTGTTGTAAGCCATAGTCTACATTTTATCTGTTACTTTAGTGAGTAAATATAAAAAAACAAAAAAGTTTTATGCTGCCCTAATTGATGAACTGTTACGGTACGCTCCTAAGTTCAAGAATGTAGCAACATTGCTCAGCTGTAGTCATACCTATATATATATGTACTCTGCAGAATGCAGACAGCTGAGAGCTGACTTGAACTCGCAACTGTATACTTAGTCTCCGATTATTTACACTTTTCTCATGTCATCGAAAACTACGTAATAACATATACAAGATAGTATATTTCTTACACCTTACGGATGATTTATATAAGTTCAGCAGTAGGTTGTATATCGCATAAGTTTGCATTTCCTATCGAACCCGTCTTAAAACTAAGATTTTGTAAGCATGATTTCTTACAATTTTCATCGTCAACCTTAATTTATTTCATATGAATAGAAAGATGGGAATTCAAAGAATATAATTCAATTTTATTAAAACTCGGTTGGGTTATTTATAACTTTAACATTGAGGCCACTGGAGCCACCTTAAGTGATTGGCGTAAAATTGTTTTAAAATGACCCGTCCTTTTGTATTTCGTCGGATATTTTTAATTTTGTTTATTGTTTATGCAATAAAAAACAATGCATATAATTTCCAGGTGGGTCTTAGTTCTACATTTTTAGCAATAAAGAAAGTCCCTAGTACCCCTGTTTAATAAAATAAAATAATGAAGGCATTTAAATAAGGACTCTTGAGCAAAATTTAGAAGATCCCAAAAAATTTCAGCTTGTTTTTATTTTCTGGAGCAAAAAAAATTAGGCGTATAGTGGCGATCAGAATTTTTTTTTTACAATGTTTTCTCAAACACGTTCGCATTGAAATGATGTATGTCAATGGTAATGTCAAACGTTGTCAACGAATAAATAAAAAAAAGTGAGGTTAAAAAAAACACGGATTTTAAACGCTTTTATCGTTGATTCTACGTGATCGAATTTTTAAACTGACGATTAATTAAATATAACTGGATTAACGCTTACCTGTATTTTGAATCCACGTGATGTGGCAATATTTTTCATTTGTGTCATCTGGGAATCTGTAGAGCTTTTCACCAGAAAGCTTTGATTTTATGCAGCCCCTGTATTGACAAAAGTCGTACGGTCTTGTTACTATTTTTACTTAATTACTGAAAAAACATCGTAGCCCGGGTATCATACAACCGTAAAATAGCCAAAAGAAAACTTATCAAGGACAAGAGCGCGAAAATTCTTACCAAAACCACTTTGTTTATATTGTCATTGCACTTATAACATTATACACAATCACTTTAATCACGTGTATAAAAAAAAAAATCTGCAACAGGCAGCTGATACAACAGCAAATCTAATCTCGCTGATGTCACGTCCGACCAAAAAAATCTCTGTTTATGTTGTTGCACTTTATTCAGTCACGCAGTTGTTCGAACACTAAGTGTCATATGCAACACGTGTACACACCAGCAATACAGATCAAAAAAATATTTAATCAGAACAATGTTAAACTTTGGTATTTGTCGTACTTACGGTCGATGTGCGTATGCACAAAAACAATGGGAAAGTACGTTAGCTGCAGACAGTCGCAACAACGCGTGATTGCAGCTCACGGCGCAGTGCAGGCGATAGGCTGTTGAGGTAAAATTGTCTTTGTAATTAAGTACCTTTTATAAAATAGTATGAGGCATGTTATATTAATAAATATTAAAAGAATGTAAAAAAAAAAATTTAATAATAAAGCAAGAAACATCTGTTGGATTTCAGGGAAAAAAAAATGCCAGGAATGGAATCGAGGACAAAATATGAAAGTCGTTGTTACGGGAGCATTAGCTACCTCGGCTATTGATGCAACATGCCTACCATCGTTTAGAAGTGACATGTGTTCATAGAGAACCTCCAAAGCTTAGGCTATAGTTAATGGTTATTACAACGTGTTAGCATAAAAATCTGAAAAGAAAATAAGCATCCATATTAATTATATCAGGTTGAAGTGTATCGGTGTACTGGAACACGATACTAGCATAAAGATACACTGATCGCCTCGCTCATCACACACATTCGCTCCGCTAAGCTGCATTATACATATATACTTATTTGTAGTAACAGTCAAAAGCAGAGAAGCACTTCTCCCCTCTTTACAGGTTCACTATATCGTGATACCCCTTTTATGCGTCTTCATAATGTGTGCCTACATGCACATTTCTACGCGATTCGGCAAGCGCATACTCAGCATGAATTTCCAATGTGCCTACATGCCCATTTCCACACGAATCTGTAGGCACACACTCGGTATATCCCCTCCACGCTTCTCAAATAAAAACAAAACATTTGCGTCAGGTTCGACCGCTTGGCCGCGACAGGGCGCTCGAAACAGTCTCTAAAAGTGAACTCGCGCCGTAGCATTACAGTCAGCAACTCGGCCACGGTCACGCAGCCGCGGCCGAAAAGACGTCCCCCTACCACTCTCTCGAGGCAGCAGAGTGGTGGGGGGACCCTTTTTCGCCATCTTGAAACCAACACTGTCAGCAATCTCTCTACTAATCTCTGTCGAGGTCCCAGCGCACGGCGCGTCGAAAAAGTGATTACAAACATGATTTTATATAAGTTTCGATCGACTTTCCTTGCATAAAATATAGATGTACCTGAATATTAGTGAATGAGAATGTGCTATTAACATTCACATTTTCTTGTTTTATAATGTTAAGAAAGTATAAATATTATTAACGTTACAATGTTATTGTTCACTATTTGCAGTACTTTCACAAAAAGTAAAAAATAAGATAATACATATTATATTTTGTAATGAGAACGTTCGGACACTCTTCTGGGAGGGGTAAGCGGGTATGCGGGGGCTCCCATCAGACAACGTGTTGAAGTGAGTTGTACTAACCCTGCACAAAAACTTCCACCCACTGTATCACGATCAATTTAATTCTGTTTAACTCCTTAGTGCTCAAAGGTTAAACCATCAAATGTTATGAACAAATTATGATACATACTTTAAAGCAGCTTGTTTTCATTAGTTTTAGTAAAGAAATTCGAAAACATGTTAATTTTATGATAAAAAATAACCTAAAAAAAGTTGGAGACTTAGTTTTTATTAACAAAAGTGTACAATAAATTTTTAAAAAACAAACTTTTCTTTGCACAGCGTTATAGTTTGAGGTCTTAAGAAGGGCTGTGCCAAGTTTTAGATCATGATTTCAAGTTTAACAAATTCTAGACGCAATTTTGAAATAACGTCTTGCTCCGTATAAAAAGACTAGCTGGCAGCAGACGATGCTCGGTTCTCTCCCATACACTTAGTATAGGAACCACTCGTAATTTTGTTTACGTTTGCACAGATATTTCTTTCAAATGCCTGATAAGGTGGAAGGTGCATGTTTTTGATACGAGTGTCTTTTTTAGGTCTTCAACTTTTGGTACAAACCTTTTTATTGCGTCGAAAAGCATTGTGACATATTTACATACATGATCATACATATTTTTTTCGAGAATAAAAAGCATTTTCAAACAATGCCCGAACCTCTTTAAGTGCGCAACTAAGTTTCATTAACATTTGTATGAATAAATAGTTTTTATCATTGTACATATAGTTTGTGTAACTTTACTAAGAGGAAAAAAATTGTAAGTTTTATCGTGATTGACCCTAAAAAAATTACCGTGCTGATTTAGACAGGGGTGGTGGTTGACCTGGGGTCTATATAGAATTTTTGCCTTGTGAAATTATGTCAAATGTGATATTTCCCATAAAAGAGACCAAAAGCTGTCAACTTTAAACCAACAAAAAATTTATAACTATAAACAGGCTGCTTTAACCACACAACCCTGCTTGTTTTTATTTATTTTTTAAATAGATAATAAATAATAGAAGAAATCAATAATGGATCTATTGTTAATTCTATCATTTTATTTTAGATACAACTCTTTGGTAAATATTGAATTTTTAATAATTACAATTATTCATCAAAAGACAGTGCAAACGCATTTGTTACCTTAGAATTACGTCTAACTAAACCATTCAATAATGTTCCGATATTTAACTGGTCTACTGCATCGTGATATATGTGTATTGCAAAATTGCATCACTTTTTTACAGATAGAACATAGAACTGTAAAATAAAGAAGCATTATTGGGTCATTGCCTATTGATTTCTGATCCATGGTTAAAAAATTAAGAGACCCTTCAAAAAACTGCTTTACCGTAGGGGCCTAATTCATTCACGCAAATATGGGTAGGCACTACAAATGAAGGAAAATATGCTTTGTTTCATGATTAAATTAATAATTTAATTCTAATTTATTCACCCTATCACAGTTTAAAATACTTGCTAATAAAAATCTTACTAATATATGAAGCAAAGTCACAAAAACCGTTGTAATCGCTAACCACGACAACTACTCAAGTGATGTTGCTAAAATTTTGCATATTGATTCTTGACACCTCCAAGATGATTTACGTATAGTTTGATCTTTAAAAAAGGACCAATAGCAATAAGTTATCTCAAAGTTTCAAAAAAATACGGTAGTTTTCCTTTTTAGTTCAGTATGATTCACTAGGTGAAGTAGAAGTGAAATCGAAGCTACTTTGAATGGAATTAAGTAAATCTGGTCATAATATCCCCGTGCAAGTAACCGAATGCCACAGTCATTCGCTGGCAGTGCGTGAAAAAATACTCCAATGAGATGAAAAAATTACATAATGTTAAACTTTGAGAAAAAAACCTTATAAATCGAAAAAAATGTAGTAATTGGATGACCTTGCTTTTTTTCTTTTTAATAGATACAGATGAGGTTACAGGGCTTACAACAACGACAGCAAGAACGATAGTAACAACAGCAGCAGAAGCAACAACCGTTGATAGTACCGCGTCGACAGTATCAGTGGCAGTAGCAACGGCACCAGGCGAATGGGCGTACCCGTCGACGCCGTCTTATCCGGCACCCACAGCTGAGAGCGTTGGTGTAGGCGGTGGCGTTTGCGGCTCCTACTCGCCCATCCCAGGTGGTTCGTTCTCTTATCCTGGCGAGGCACTCGCCCACCATCCAACCACCGAGCCCGTGCCCCTTCCAACTGGTGAGTCCTATACTATTTGTAACTCTATATATTGTGTCTATAAGAAACGTCTTTTATTGCCTGGTATTCTAGAGTACGTGTATGTTCTATGTAAATGGGTCTTTTGTATGCGTATATTTTAAAAATATATTCATATGGATCATCAACTCAAACCGTTTTATTTCATGTCTTAATCAATTACAACGTCGTGTCAGGATGTATCGGTCTGAAAGCTTTTTTAAATATAAGAGGAATTTTTTCTACTGAAAATACAACGGAATTTAGATCATAAAANTTTTAATGCAACTGGCTTCGTAAATACTCTCTTCTTCGTAATTAAACTTTTTTTCCTAGACGCATTAAGCTTTACAGTCTATTATTCACTTTTATGATGTAACGGTCTGAAAGCTTTTTTAAATATAAGAGGAATTTTTTCTACTGAAAATACAACGGAATTTAGATCATAAAAAAAATATTGCTTTTATTTAAAATATAAAAAAGGGGTTAATAGTGTTACAAGCTAGTGTCTAACTCGTAAGTTTGCTGTTTTGGTAATGCCTGAAAGCATAATACGGGTTTTTTTAACTTTTCTACGGCATGGGGTCTTAATTATGCATTTTAGAGAACCCAAATAAATATTATCTAAGACTTGGATAGTGTTTAAGTTGCGAGACTGAAATCTGACAAATTTGTTATGCAAAAATTTTTTACATTTTTTTTTTTATTTTAGTGCTACGGGTTTTCAAAATCATAAATTTAATCTCTCCAAAATAAAAACTAAGAGCTTGTAATGCTAAGAAATGTTACGTATCGTTACGAGAAGTTTATATATATGATATAAGTGCAACGTCAGACAACGTGTTGAAGTGAGTTGTACTAACCCTGCACAAAAACTTCCACCCACTGTATCACGATCAATTTAATTCTGTTTAACTCCTTAGTGCTCAAAGGTTAAACCATCAAATGTTATGAACAAATTATGATACATACTTTAAAGCAGCTTGTTTTCATTAGTTTTAGTAAAGAAATTCGAAAACATGTTAATTTTATGATAAAAAATAACCTAAAAAAAGTTAGAAGAGACTCAACTTTTGTCAACAAAAGTGT